TTGACAAAGAGAATATAGAAATGGAACAGTGCAACAATGAATGAATGAAAACCCAAAATCTCTGTAAATGTTCATTAAAACTAATAAAATTTAATTTAAAAAAGCCTATCTTCCCTAAATCATTTTTAAAAAAAAAGAAATGGAGCTAATAAAAACAACACCAATTATAACAGCTAATCACAAGATGAAATACTTTCAAACAAATCTAGAAACACAAAAGACCTAGACAAAGAAAATTACAAAACATTACAACATGAAACAAAAAGAGACCTACAGTAATGGAGGAATATACCATGGTCATGGATAGGAAGACTCAATATCATGAAAATGACAATTCTACCAAAGGCAATCTACAAGTAGCCAGTCTTTGGAAAAAGACATCATGCTGGGAAAGGTGAGGGGTGTCAGAGAAAGAGAGGAAGACCCTCAACAGTATAAATTGGCACAATGATTGTAGCAATGAGCCTGAGCATTATGGAGATTATAAGGATGAATTGTTTTCTCGTCAAACATTCTTCTAGCTGGTATAGCACTGGTCTGTGCATTGCTGTACAGAGGTAACTAGTGGTTGCTGTGATGTTGAAGACTGGAACACTAATGTGCCAAACGTGGTAATGGTTACCCATGGTGAAAAGTGTTTGCTGGAGCTTCCCGACTAAAACAAGCCTGGAAACAAGAGAGGCATCCACTTCCAAAATGGCTTTCCTCGGAAACTTTATGTATGAACAGTGCTCAGGCCTTTCATTCATAGGGTCGCTATGAGTTATCTACAACTCGACGGCACCTAACAACAATAACGACGATGACATAGAGACAGCTTTGTTGGCCTAGTGGACAGAAAGGTATGCTACCAAACCTAAGGTGGGTGATTTTAATCTGCAGCCCTCAGGCTAGGTTAAAATTGTTTTTCTATCAAACATTCTTTTAGATGGTATAGCACTGGTCTGTGCATTGCTGTACAGAGGTAACTCGTGGTTGCTGTGATGCTGAACACTGTGACACTGATATGCCAAACATGGTAATGGTTACCCATGGTGGACAGTGTTTGCTGGAGCTTCTCGACTAAAACAAGCCTGAAAGCAGGAGCAGCATCCACTTCCGAAATGGCTTGTCTCTGGAAACTCTATGTACGAACAGTGCTCAGGCCTTTCATTTATAGGGTCACTATGAGTCGTCTACGACTCGATGGTACCTAACAACAACAACAACAACAATAGGATAGGAAGACTCAGGTCTCTTGTTCATAGAGTCACACTTAACAACAACAACAAAATACAGGATTCATTCAATCACTTAGATTTGGCAAGAGTTTCTAAGACATATGAGCAACAATAACACAAATAGACCCACTGTACTTTACCAAAATTTAAAATTTCTGTTTCATAAACATCCAAATGTGAACACAATCAAAATGATAAAAGAAAAAAATATTTTTGAGAGAAAATGTTTGCATATATACATCTGAGAAGGGACTTGCATGTGGACTATATAAAGAATTTTTACATCTTAAAAATGAAGACAAATACTTAATTTAAAAAGAGACAAAGGAGCGGAATAGTTATTTCTCCAAAACTGCTGTCATTGTGTAGCATCAAGTCAGAAATGACTCATAGTTGAGGTTTTCAGAGGCTTTAAACTGCACAGGAGGAGACTGCCTATCATTCCCCCAAGGAGCAATAAGTGGATCTGAACTGCATTGCCTTAGGGCTGACAGCACAACTTCGCTACCAATAGGCCAAGAGAGCACTCTTTTTATAATTAGGTCATTCAAAAGGCCAATATAAAAAAAAAAAAAAAAAGATGTTCTGCATCACTCGTCATCAGGGAACTGGAAATCAAAACCATAATAAGATACCCAACTTCACTCCTACTAGGTTGTTAAGTATTGTCAAGGCTTTGAAAAAAAAACTGGGACCATTATCCACAGCTGACAGGAATATAAAACGATGCACCTGCTTTGAAAAACTGATAAGTAATTATTCAAAAATATGGAAAAAATATACTTAGTCACTGTATCGAAAGGAATTGGAAGACAGAAGAATTTCATGAAACAACATATGAGAAAGAGCCTATGGTGATGAAGGAGGAAGTTCAGGCTGCTTTGAAGGAAATGGCAAAAAACAAGGCTCCAGGAAGAGATGGTATACCAATTGATATATTTCAGTTAACAGATGCTGCCATGGACGTGCTCACCAAGTTGTGCCAAGAAATCTGGAGAACAACCACTTGGCCAACTGACTGGAAGAGATCGATATTTGTTCCTATCACAAAGAAAGGTGAACCAACAGAATGTGGAAACTACAGAACAATCTCACTGATTTCACATGCAAGCAAGATTTTACTGAAGATTATCCAAAAACGACTGGAAAAGCACATCAACAGAGAACTACCAGAAGTCCAGGCTGGGTTTAGAAGGGGTTGTGGTACTAGAGATATTGTAGCTAATGTTAGATGGATCTTAATTGAAAGCAGGGAATACCAGAGGAATGTCTATCTGTGTTTCATTGACTATGCAAAGGCATTTGACTGTGTAGATCATAACAAACTATGGCTGACTCTGAGAAGAATGGGAATCCCAGAACACTTGATCGTTCTAATGCAAAACTTATACTTGGATCAGGAGGCAGTCGTCAGAACAGAGCAAGGGAACACTGCATGGTTCAAAACTGGAAAGGGCGTACGCCAGGGATGCATCCTATCTCCATACCTTTTCAACTTATATGCAGAACAGATTATCCGGGAGGCTGGGCTCTATGAGGAGAAATGTGGGGTCAAGATTGGTGGATGATTTATCAATAACCTGCGTTATGCAGATGACATAACCCTGCTTGCTGAAACTGAAGAGGACCTGAAGCGCCTGCTACAGAGTGTCAAGGACTGCAGCCTACAATATGGATTGAGGCTCAATGTCAAGAAGACAAAGATTCTCACCACTGGACCAATTGGCAGCATCAGGATGGATGGTGAAGAGATTGAGATTGTACACAGCTTTAGTTTGCTTGGCTCCATAGTCAACAGTCTTGGCACCAGCAGCCAGGAAATTAAAAGGCACATTGCCATGGGAAAGTCTGCTGTTAGGGACCTCTCCAAAGTACTGAAGAGCAATGGTGTCTCTCTGGAGACTAAGGTGCATCTGATACAGGCCATGGTCTTCGCAATCACTTGTTATGCATCAGAGAGTTGGACAATGACCAAGGAGGATAGAAGGAGAATTGATGCCTTTGAGCTGTGGTGCTGGAGAAGAGTATTGAGAATACCATGGACTGCTAGGAAAACAAATAGATTTGTGCTGGAAAGGGTTAAACCGGGTGGCTCCTTGGAGGCAAGGATTCTGAGGCTCCGTCTAACATACTTTGGACAAGTTGTGAGGAGAGACCGGTCCTTGAAGAGGGACATCATGCTTGGGAGGGTGGAGGGACAGCGCAGGAGAGGAAGGCCCTCTATGAGGTGGATTGATTCAGTGACTGGGATAATTGGGATGGGAGTGTCAGAGACAGTGCGATTGGCACAGGACAGAGCAGAGTTTAGGGCTGTTGTACATAAGGTTGCTATGAGTCGCAAGCGTCTCGATGGCACATAACAACAACAACAACCATATGACCTGACTGCTGGAATTTATCCTCTTCCTCCAAAATGAATATGCATGCTCACACACACAAAAAAGGTACATGAATGCTCCCAGCAGCTCATGATTCATAATCTCCAGAAAGTAGAAACCACTCAAACACCCACCGATTGACTAATGAATAAAATATGGTATATCCATATAATGAAACCCTATTTAACTATGAATGGAAATACACTGCAATAGGCAACAACAAAGATGAAGTTTGAGAAGTCAAAGAAACCAGTAACAAAGAACCACATATTCTGTGATTCCATTTCTATCCAATGTCCAATAAGCAAATCTAGAGAGACAGAAAGTAGTGGTTGAATAAGGCTAGAGAAGATAAAAGGATTGCAGTTCAACAGAACAGCCTTTGAAGGTGATGAAATTGTTCTAAAATTAACTGTTATGGCAGTAGTACTACTCTGAATATACTAAAAGGCATTGAATTACATACTTTCAAATGGGTTCATTTTAATGATATTAAGTTACATTTTTTAAAAAAACCTATTTCAAAAATTGGCATTTTAGTCCAAAAGAGATTGGTGGAACCCTTGAGATTATGGTTCTTGATCACTCTACGGACCCGGCAGAAAATCTTCCCATGGCTCAACTTTCAGCCAAACAGCAGACAAGCCTATAAGGTAACTAATAAACCTATGGAGGCATTCACTCCATAGAATAATCAACCATATAAAGGTCAAAAGGGCAGCCTTTGTCCAAGGATAAAGCTCAGAAGGCACAAAAAGGCAGGTTAGAAGGACGTTTTAATTGTGGTTGACAGGTTAATTTTTCTAAACATTTATTGTTTAACAATAAAAATTTGGAATACTCAAATTACTCTGCAGTTTAATAAAAATATATTTCCTAATTATATTACATTAAAAATAAAGTTCTCCAACATAGCAGGTATTTCCAAGAAGTCCCAGGTATGCTGGCTGGGAGAGCACCGAAGAAGTGAACAGTAGCTTTGTGAGATGACCACTCTGCAGAAGACATGATGTCCTGAAATGCAAGTCAATAAAATCAATGGATGCCATTACAGTTTTATCTGTGCCACTGCTTCAACCCACTATCAAACACAATGCACAGTGACAGTAGTCATTAAAAAGCCATTATTCTAAAAACAGAATAGTTTTAAAACAAAGTTTTTCTTTTTTTAAAAAATATATATACGTAATATTTTCTCTTCGTTTATGTCCAATGCTACTGCAGTTTCATGATGACACATGTTTAAATACTTCAGGTTGTGTTTAAAAAAATCTCTGCTAATACAAACAAAACTCCACTCTCAGACACTCTCTTTCTATCTTGACACTCCAAAGCTATGAAGATTCATTCTGTCTTAAATGAAAGAAGAAAGCTGAGAATCATTCTGAGTAATCTAGTAAAATTAAGTTCCTTGATTATCAGCAGGTTTGAAAAGTTGCCTGGGGACTAAACTATTCAGTCTCAAATTCTCAAGTCTGGAAGATACTTGTGGAGACGATTCTTCCACCTGTTGGGGGGAAAACAAATAGGAAATTAATGCTAGGAAAATGCTGCTAGTCTTCCCTCTGCGATTTTGTTCTTTCTGATTGCTTCTGAAGAAGACATACTACATTTCCCCTCCAACTCCTTAAAAGACTCAAGCAGACCCAAACAACTGGCCGCCAGTTCCTTGTAGGATCAGCTCTGCTTCTACCCACTAGTGTACAGCACTTAGCTCTGTTTCTAGAACATAAAACAGCTGGTTATTTTCTAAGTACATATGCTTAAGTTCTAAAGATTTAGCTAGGTTCCACTTCATAATTTAGCAGCCTAGTACAAAACAAAAATTCAAATCTCTTGCTCAAAACTGAAGAATTTCAAGGTGGCAAGAAATTTTCTCAGACGGCACAAAACTAAGACTTTTCAAGATGGAAAAAAAACAACCATTGGGCCCCTATCAGACGGCAGAGGTTGAATGCTCACTCATCAAGCCAGCTCTGTGTGTGGTACGGCAAATCTGCTAATTCCCAACCACATGTTAATGGACTAGTGTGGTCACCATGAAGTTTCACCACTAGACAGATGAGACAAGAGAGGGTGATTTATCTTTCATAAAGCTGCTTCTTGTTGCTGAATGCCATCAAATCATTTCCAACTCCCAGCAATCCTATAGAACAGAGTAGAACTTCTCCACTGGGTTTCCAATCTTCTCAAGGCGTAGGCAGTAGTTCAAACCTTTCAGTTGCACCATGATGAATACTGCAGCCTTGGAAACCCAATGGGACATTCTATTCTGTTCTATAGCAATACAGTGAGTTGAAACTGAACTCCAGCAACATGTTTGGTTTTTGGTCTTCTGCTACAGAGCTGCTGGTAGGTTTGAATGGCTAACTTTTAAGTTTCCTACTGGGTACTTTATCCACATTGTGCCTCTAGAGCTCCTAAGTTTATTCAGTTTAGCTGAATGCCCTTTAATCAACCTCAAGAACTCATCGCCTTCAAATTGGAACTGACTCACAGCTGATCCTTCCTCCAGCAAGTCTTCAGAGGCCATAAATCACACAGGAGGAGATTATGCATGTTTCTGTCACAGCAGAGCTGGTGGATTCAAACTGCCTGGCTTTTGGTTGGCAGCACAACTCTTTACTCACTAGACCACTATAGTTCCCTGTCCCTTTTTAAATATTATCTAATAAAGTACTTCCTAGAATCCACCAACTGTTCTGTGGAAGAATGCTAGGCAGTCTCCTGTAAAAAGTTACAGCCTCTGAAGGGTCATACTGACTCCTGGAGGGTCAGTAGGATTTGGAACCCACTGATGGAAGTGGGTTGGTTTTTCTGTTTATTCTGAAAATTGCAGCTTTATAGGGAAAATTTTAACAATGTTAACTTACATGTTTTCTTCTAAAGGGATATTTTTGCTTTTATTTTTTTGGAGGAGGAAAACTAGGAGAAAGATACTAAGTAAAAATTTGTTCATGGTTTGTTGTTGTTTTCAAAATCCAAAGTATAAATCCAAGAAGGAACAGAAAAGCTTGCTGGGGGGAAGGGTTGGGAAATTAAAGAATTCAAATGTTGCTCTGGTCCTCATGCAGCAATGTAAATATGAAGGACGTTTAGGAAAGCATTGTCATTGGATGTGACTTCTCAGAAATTACAAAGTTCAACACATCTGACATTCTAGAATTATGGAAATGTGGAAAGCTTTCATTGACCAGCCCTATATATTTGAATCGTAGTTTCCTAATTTCTAGGGATTCTTGCAGCTGTTGCATATTTTTTTCAAACTTTGTTAGAAATCATCCTGTAGGTTAGAGAACTCTGTCACTATGCTGTGGCATCAGATGTCGCTGGACTGTTCATCTACATTCACAGACCTGCAATATTGATTCCAGCCAGAATGTAGACACTTTCTACATACAGTCACTTTTGCAAGCATTGACAAGCTTAATTACACACAAGATGTTTTGCTGAGAAATCTCTGATCAGGGATACTGAATGATGCTTAAAGTCAGCAAAGAGTCTAATACTTCAAGGGAAGAAAAAGGCTAATCAACTTCCCCCAGCATAAGCATTACAATAAATCACTTTCCCGGCACAGCCTGGTCCTCTACCTATTTCCCCAGTTCTGATAACTGCTATCTGCACCCGCATTGATGCCCAACCCAGAAACCCAGGATCATCACACGGGCCCAACCTCACCAAACCTCTAACTGATCCCCAAGCCCCACTCCCTTTGTCTCCCAGCATCTCCACATCCTCACTGCTATGACCTAATATTAGACCCTCATCATTTTGTCCAGACCACTGAAATGATCTTTTGGCTGGGAACCCATTCTTAGGCTCTTCCTTTGCATTACCCCTTAAACTACAAAGTCACCTATCTAAATTTCAGGTCTTACCAATTCAGAGCTCTCACAGTGCTTCATCTTTGCTCCCCCACAACTAGAAGGAAGTGTGATCTCTTTACAAGAGCTTCTACCTTTTCCTGACTAGTCCTGTGTCTTCCCCTACAACTTAATCATATTCTAGCCTCTATGTGTGGTTCCAGGCTCTGTCTCATTCCTACACTTGCCTTTATGCCAGTATCTCACACACTGTGCCCCTTGCCAGGCAAACTTTTAGAGGATGGGAGGAAGACACAGAAAGATGGAGGATGATGACAATGAATTAATGAGGGCTGCCTAATATGGCACACTTGGGCACAAGCAAAGAGTGCTATGATGAAGTGGACATAAGGGGGGAAATCTGACAGAAGCAAGAGAATGGCTACCGATGATTCTAAGTCCTATAGTATAATGTAACATCAATAGCAATATGTAGTTGTAAATAAGTACACAAAAGTTAGCAATATTTAAGTATAAGGCAAGCACATGTTATTAACATCACTCCTACCATAAAAACTTTGCTTGGGCTTTCCTTAACATTCCCACCACAGGCTCTTTTGATCCCTTGTACTTTGGACGGACTTTCATCTGGAAACGCCTCAACAGAGGAAGGGAGGCGCCACCTTTCAGCAGAAGTTGATGTCCAGCCATTAAGTGTAGAAGCTTTGCTCCAGGAGACATCGTCTGTCCCAGTGTCATTCCCAGATGAAGGCAGTAGAGATGCGGAGAGCTGCGTGCCAGCCTTTCTAGCTTCTCCAGAGCTTTTGGATGAGGATGGACGTTCGACTGGAGGTACACAGTTCATGGACAGCAGATTATTTTGCAAAAAGTATTTTAAACGTGTTTTTCTGGGAATGCTGCTTCTTTTAATTGCACTCTGGAGCTGAGATTCTTCGGCAATGACGTACACTTTAGAACGGCCCCTGGTCACCGCAGTGTAAACGTGCTGCCAGTGCTGGCGACCCGCCTTCCCAACCACGTACACGACTGTCTGCTCCTCGGAACCCTGGGGATGAACAGGACAACATGAGGACTGCACAGATCAGAGGTGCATGCTTTAGACAGCTGAACGGTGCAAAGGACACATACCTCAAATAGCTCAATAACACTGTGTGTTCACAGGAAACCAACTTCCACATTCCATTTCATTCATTCTCTAAGAACTAACATTTATGCTGAGAAGTTCAGGTTTGCAGAAGTTTAAGAGAAGGCATATAGTACTAACAAATTATTATACAGACTTCATATGTAAATATATCATCCCACTGTTACTTTTTAAGGCACAAAACTTAAATATTAAGGCCAATACCATATTTAGTAACGGGAAAACAGGTAAGTAAACTTGTATTATATTAAACATTCATACATATATATACATATATTATCTTATAAGCTTCAAAGATTACTTAAAATATAATAAAGATTTAAAATCTACATATAAAATCTGTTCCTAAAAATGGTCATAACTATAGAACATAAAATAAAATTACAATGATTCAAAATGCATATAAAAGTGTCATAACTATGTAACATGAAACAAAATTAAACCTGTAAAAAGGCAGGACATTGTCACAAAATGTTAACAAACTATCTTTTTAGGTAGTAGACACACGAAACACTTGTCTATGGCAAAAACTACAAAAGTGTGCCAAAAAAGTTTAGTGGTCAAGATAATCTTATTTCATACATTAAAAAAAATACAGAAAATATAAAAACTTTAAACCAAAAAGCCCACAAGGCCACAAACTCATTGCCACCAACTGAGAACCAACTCCTGGCTGACCTTCCAGCAGGTTTTCAGAAGCTGTAAATCACATGGGAAAGACTGTCAATCTTTCTCCTTAAAAGCCACTGGTGGATTCAAACCAGCCCCCCTTAGGTCAGCAGTGAACTCTCTAGGGCCCACGTCACCAGAGCTCTTTAAAGACAGCATCAGGAACACTCCCTATGGAGCCAGAGTGGGGAACGAGGCTTAAGGAAAACCCATGACGCTGAGGCTGACTCTGCCTGATTCTGATGGGAAAGGAAGGCCTGAAGAATAAGGTTCACCTTGACCGTCTATTTACAATGACAATCTTCATCTTTAATTCTTTTAAGTCAGTCACTGTTGCACATTTTCTTCCCTCCTCATCCTCCAGTCCACTTTGTAATGCACCTCTTCTTCCAGATTATTGCTATACGTTTAGTACCTAACAAATTCCTTTTGGACAGTTCTTCTCCTCATCTGCTCCAATGCAGTATTCATTATCTATCCACTCTTTTTCTATTCTACCCTCAACTCTCACGTCTAATTCTTAGAAAAAGGAAAAAAAAAAGAGCTCTGAAGCGGCGAAAGATGAATGTCTACATTATTTTGTGCATTTTATTTTCCATATTGGGGGAAGCAGTAACAATTATAAAGAAAACAGCACAATACTCTCTATGCTAAACTATTTAAATAAATTTCTAAAGATCCACTCTTACCTGGAATGTATGGATAGTTCTTGCCCAGGCATGTTTTATGCGGCACAACTGCATTAGTTTTACAAAATCCACAGTTACTTCCAAGCCAGCATTGTTATCAATAGTCAAATATCTTTTCTTCCTGAAAGTTACATCAGTTTTATCCTGTTACCAAAGAAAGCAGAATTACTTCCTGCATCTTTAAAAGTGCATGTGGTAAAGTATTCTACCATCAATTTGAAGAGAATATGTAACCCCCTTGTAATTCTCATGTATAGTCACTGCAGTGGCTAACAGTATCAAAAGACTTAACAAAATCTAACAAAATGTAAAGCATGAGCTATGAAGGGCATCCACACCCAAATATTTTAATAAGCACAAAAAAACCTTTTAATCCTTGAAAGTTAAATTTAATTTAAACACTCTGAAGGCCAGCCTATGTTTTCTTTATATTGAAGTCTACATACATAATTCAGTTTCTTTGTATTGAAGGATGAAGTCTCTGTACGCTCTTTGCAGAGGTTATTTTTCCTCACTTCTAGCTTTTAGGGAAGATTATGAGTTTAGGATTGTACCTGTCCAAAACCAAGGTGGCCACTTCTTTTTTTTTTTTTTAAGTCAGGAAATCAAAAAGCATATCGCGATGGGAAAGTCTGCTGTTAGGGACCTCTCTAAAGTACTCAGGAGCAACGGTGTCTCTCCGGAGACTAAGGTGCGCCTGATACAGGCCATAACAATCGCTTGTTATGCATCAGAGAGTTGGACAATGACTACGGAGGACAGAAGGAGAGTTGATGCCTTTGAGCTGTGGTGCTGGAGAAGAGTACTGAATGTACCATGGACTGCCAGGAAAACAAACAGATTCATCTTGGAGAGGATTAAACCAAGCTGTTCCTTGGAGGCAAGGATTCTGGGGCTTTGTCTGACATATTTTGGACCTGTTGCCAGGAGGGATGGGTCCTTGGAGAGGGACATCATGCTTGGGAGGGTGGAGGGACAGCACAGGAGGGGAAGACCCTCTATGAGATGGATTGATTCTGTGACTGGGGTAATCGGGATGGGTGTATCGAAGGCAGTGCGATTGGCGCAGGATAGAGCAGGGTTTAGGGCTGTTGTGCATAGGGTCGCTATGAGTCGAAAACGACTCGATGGCACATAACAACAACAACAACAATTTTAATGAACACTTACAGAGATTTTGGATTTCCATTAATTCATTGTTGCAGTTTTCTCATTGCCCACTCCTCCCCCCAGTTCACTCTTCTCTTTGAAAAGTAAAATTCCTTCACTGGTATACAAGTGTTGTCCCCCGCCCCCCGCCATGCCCTGAGGACACTACACTATGCAGCCTTCTTTCTGGACTCTTGTCATAACCATAAACCCCAATCATATATCGCTTTTAAACGGGTCTCTCCCTCATCTGTTTCAATGCAGTATACATAATTCACCCAATTTGTCTCAATCTCACCCCAACCCTCATGTCAGTCTGTTCTACAACAGTAGGCAGTATGTAGTATTGGTATTTTGTGACTAAGATATTTCACTCAGCATGATGTCCTCCAGGGTCACCCATTTTGAATAATACTGCATGAGTTCCTTGGTTTTCAATGCAGCATAGTATTCCATTGTGTGAATATACCACAGCTTCTCTATCCATTCGTTTGTTCATGGGCACCTGGGTTGTTTCCAACTCCTTGCTATTGTAAACAAAGTCACAATACACATGGGTGTGCATATGTCTGCCTGGGTTGCAGTTATGGTTTCTTTAGGGTATATTCCCAGGAGAGGAACTGTTGGGTCAAATGGTATTTCTATTTGCAACTTTTTGAGATAGTGCCATACAGCCTTCCACAGTGATTGTACCATTTTACACTCCCACTAACAGTGAATAAGGGTTCCAATTTCTCTACAACCTCGCCAGCATTTGTTGTTTGCTGCTCTTAAATTTTGCTCTTCTTACTGGGGTGAGACGATATCTCATAGTTGTTCTGATTTGCAACTCTCTTAGAGCCAGGGATTTTGAGCATTTCTTCATGTATTTGTTAGCTATCTGAATGTCTTCTTTGGTGAAGTGTCTGTTCATATCCTGTGCCCATTTTTCAACTGGGTTATTTACCTTTATCTTGTTGTGGCGCTCAAGTAGTTTATAAATTCTAGATGTAAGTCCCTTATCTGATATGTCATTACCAAATATTTTTTCCCAATATGTGGCTTTCCTTTTTACTCTGTTGGAGAAGTTTTTAGATGTGCTTAGGGATTTGATTCTTAGAAGGTCTCATTCATCTATTTTATCCTCTCCTGGTTGTAGATTTTTCAGGATGCTTGAAAGACTGTTTATGTTGTAGATTAGGACTTCTAGAGTTCTTCCAAGCTTTTCTTTAATGAAATGTATAGTCCTTGGTTTTAGTCCTAGGTCCATGATCTATTCTAAGTTGGTTTTTGTGTATGGAGTGAGGTGTGGATCTTTCTACAGGAGTTTTTCTACAGGTAGTTTTCCAATTTTGCTAGCACCATTTGTTAAAAGCGTTGTCATTTCCCCACTTAACTGATTTCATTTCCTTGTCAAAAATCAATTGACCATTGGTAGATGGGCAGATTTCTGGATTTTCTATTCTTTATACCAGTACCATGCTGTCTTGACCACCACGGCAGTGTAGCAGGATTTGAAATCAGGGAGTGAGATGCATCCTACCTTATTTCTCTTTTTAAGGAATGCTTTGCTTATTCAGGGCCTCTTTCCATTCCAAATGAAATTAAAAATTGCCTTTTCCATGTTGTTGAAGAATGGAATTGGTATTTTTATTGGGATTGCATTGAATGTGTAAACTGCCTTTGGTAGTATTGTCATTTTCACAATATTGAGTCTTCCTATCCATGAGCAAGGGATATTCTTCCACTTCTCCAGGTCTCTTTTTGTTTCTTGTAGTAATGTTTTGCAATTTTCTTTGAATAGATCCTTTGTGCTTCTGGTTAGATTTACTCCTAGGTATTTTATCTTGTGATTACCAATTGTGAAGGGTATTGTTTTTCTAGGATCTAGTTCTGTTTTGTCACTGTAGAGAAATCCAATTGATTTTTCTATGTTGGTGGCCACTTCTTTAGTTTCTGGATTTAAGTAGCAGCCAAAAAGATGACGGCTTATAAAATAAAATAAGCATCTTATATGTCCTTTGTTTTTGCTACTCAAACACTTGAAGCTTCATCTTTGCTCCATCACAATTAGACGTGTCATCTATTTACAAGAGCTTCTCTCTTCCTGACCAGTGCCGTTTATTCACTTCTACAACTTATTATATTCCAGCCTCTACGTTTCAGCTACCGCTCCAATCCTGCAGTTTGCCTTGATGCCAAAATCTACCAATATTGTGTCCTTTGCCAGGCAAACTCTTAGAAGATGAGCAGGAAGTTTTCTTCAAAAACTTACCCAGAAAAAATGGAAGAAACAATTCGTTTTATGCACTCAGCACTACTATCATACAATAATCAGAAAAGAGACTGCAAGAAAACTACATAATAGTATCTCTCATGAACCCGATAAAAAAATTCTTAGGAAAATATTATGAAGAGAGAATGTCAAATTCTGATACTAGTTTCTGAGGCAATCCTAGGGCAATGTGTCTTTTCAATGGGTTAAAAAGATTATTTTCCATTATCACTTACTCCTGTTATGAAAAATATTTCTCCATTGCACAGTCGAATATCATTTTTGTAGTTACGCTTATTTTTTTTTTTAGCAAAATTCTGAGGAGAGTCATCAAAGTTTTCACTTTCAGGGAGTAAATCAGAGAGATATGCGTTCCGGGTACAACAAATTTTGTCACCAATTCCAAAGACAAGTCTATTCTGATGGTCTCTGGGGAAGAAAAAAAAGATATTGCATGTAAGATTGGAAACTTTAAATCTCATTTTGTCTAAACATTAGGCCCCTGCCCCCACACACCTCCAGATAGAGCCTACTCTCAAAAGATTGTGCAGGTTCTCATTCCTCTTGTTATCATTCTCCAGAGATCAACAAAACATGTTCCCTTCATTGTCATTTGATTATTTATATGCATTGCCTGCAGCACCTCAAATTTAATGACATTTCCCAATACTTACAGATTTAAATAGGTGCTATAATGGTTAACCTCTAGATTTATGGTTATAATCTCATTTGGGAACAAATTTTCTTAGTGTGGGGTGTGTCTTGAATTAATCTCTTACAAGAGCTCAAAAACCAAATTAGGTAAACAGACAAAGTAAGCGAGATGGCAAACCACATGAAGACTGTCCCAGAAGCAGAAGCTCAGGAGAGACACGGAGCTTCCTCCAGTCAACACAGCCAGAAAGCTTTCCTTAGAACAGACTCATACTCTCTTGGAATAGGAGGAATTAAGTGTTAAAACCACCCATATGTGCAACAGCGAGGGATAAACGATGCCCCCTACCCCTTGAAGGTTTTCCCCGCTCATAAAGGTTACCTGAAACCGTGGGTGAAGAGGAAAGGAGAAGCAGCACCAGCAGGATGAACTGAAGTGGACCAGACAACTAGCAGAAGCCCAAGATGACAACATACTGAAGTGAAACTCCTCTGAGCTGACCTGTCCTTGAGCAGCAGTGAATTAATAAACCCCCACATGTGGTTTTGGGGAAAAAAACAACCAAACCTCCCAATTCTGGGATCTCTGTTACAAGAGCACTAGGTAACAAAGACATTAACCTAACTTGTCAAGTGGGAAATCTTTAAGTAAATGCTAAAAAACTCTTGGCCAATCTCTTCTAAGAGTTAAGACAAAGCCATTATGATTTTACCTTTACAATTCATCCTTTTCTCTCTAATATCACTACCCTAGTTCAGGTCCGCATTATCTCTTAGGCTGACTGTTATAATTGTCTTATTCTTTCTATACTCTAATCCAACCTGCACACAAATGGAAATTACTTTCCATGTGCCATTTATGCAGGAGATTCATCAAGCAGGCAAGTTATGGAGTTTGTCTTTCAATATGGCTTTTCTAACATGGATGACTGGACCATGTGGATGGGCAGGCCTATGTAAAAGGCGCATGTTGGCTTATCAACAAAGGGATTGGCTCTCTTTCATTCCGTAACGGGACTGGCCATTCTCAACAATCTACAAGAGGTCTGGCTAGTATTGCAATAAATTGAACCATTCTAGCTGAAGAGAGAGAATTCTTCCCCCATCAGAAGAGGAAAGAGACCTCCCTCAACCCAGTGAAATGCAGAACATGCTTTGAGACAGCAGCAGCCATGGCCAAACTGGAGACATGATGTGAGCTGAGTTGTTGGGCAGGGCGGGGGAGAGCCAATATTGGCAGCATGAGAACTTTGCTGGATTTATTAGGAGGGAAACCATTGTTGGCAGGACTGAGAACTTTGTCAGGCAACTGGGTGGGTGGGGGATGCCAATATTGGCAAGACTGAGAACATGGGAACAACCACGAGGCTCAAGGCTGAATTGTCTGCATGCACATTTTGGGAGCTGTCTTAACTGTATTCTGTTACTAATCTAAATTACAACTTTTAAACTTCCCCGGTATGGTTCTGTGTAGTCTATGAGCTATCAAATCACACTTTGAACCCACCAAATAAGTTAAACTGGTGTTTAAATGAGTAGAAAGAGGTATGGGAACATGAGGAACATGCTTGACCTCATGGGAATTGGTTTCGTGTTACCAATGCTATGGACTAAGAAAGTTTCCCTGTCTGTGAAGATGTTAAAGGTCAGATATGGTCGCGCTCGCGTAGGCCTTGCTCTTTTCACACAATTCTAACATCTTTAGCAGGATCTATCCACATTGGATGAGCCCAATCTTTCACCTCCATGTCCCATTTTGTCTGGACAGACTTTCCACTACAGTATTGTGAGTTGTTTTTGTTTTTATTTCCCTCCTTTAAAAAACATACGATCTTTAAAAAAGAAAAAAAATTCACATCACTGAGAGTTGCTCCTTATGCTTGCTTTGCCTAAAATGTTCTTCTCACTCATCTTTCAGGACCCAGCTCCATTGCTATATCCTTGTAAAACATTCCAGGAGACCCCTTCCTCTAAAGAGTGTATTACTTATTTCATTCCTGTTTCAATAATAATTATATACCTATTTCCACTATAACATATATGATGCTACATTAGAATAACCACAGCAAGTTTTGACTATATGTTGGTGATGAACCAGCTGGCATAATAAGTCCTTTGACTCTATTATTTAATTTCTTCCTTACTGCAACTGTGTGAGGAGAATTTCTGCATATATACTTTCTCACACGCATGAAAGTTGACGTTTAGAAAGGTGCACTTATTTGTCCAGGATCATAGCTACTGGCACCTAGAATGTATATGGTCTGAAATATCATGTTCTCTATCTCATGTGTTAAGTTACTTGACATAGATTTGTGTGTCTTCTCTCAGCAGACAGGAAGCTCCTCTTGTATTCTGTGTATCTCTGGTTCTTCTGCACTGAGGTGCTGCTGAGTTGAGTACGACTCATGAACAGCAGACCTGAACTCTGTCCTATCCTGTGAATGCCAGGGAAATGAACATCTTTTCTTGCTGGGTATAAATAGAGAAGCTATTCAGATTCCTATTTCTCTCTACCAGAATCCTACTGCTAAGGTCCTTCAAAGGACTACACACATATATTATAATTTTTAAAACTGTTCTGAATTTGCCAAGCTCATCTTGGAGAAGCAAGAGCTGCCATTTTGGAAATTAAAAAAAGATTTTAGTCCTTCATTTACTTTTTACACTGACAACCAAAGAGTTGAATTTTTCTATTAATCTAAAGTGACAAAATACTTAACTTTCACAAATGAAAGAGGGAAAACAGTTTTTAAAGATGTGGATACAGCTGCCAAATTTCAAAGAAAACAAAGAAAAGAATCATGAGGCAAGGAAGGACCGCCTCAGAGTGGGGTTCCAGAGAGCACTCACGTGTTTAAGTGTCCCGTGTAGTGCCTGGCACAGCAGTGGTTGATCAGATCACAGTCCTGTCTGAAACACATGACAATGCAAAGTCCCATTAGTGCTGTCTGCAGTTTGCTTCTTTATGTTATCAATACTTAGGGTATATATTATCCCATACATTTCCAGATCTTCCTCCAAGAAAACACTCAAACCATTGCAGCTGAATTGCTTTCAAACTCGCAGTACCTCTCCACTGAGTTTCTGGGGCTGTAAATCAAAATAGGAAAAGATGGCCTATTTTTCTGTTGCAGAACTGCTGTTGGATTCAAACCAGTTTATTAGCAGTATAACCCTCTAAGGATTATACCAGTGCTCTTTACCTCAAAATGAAATACTCTATAATTTTTTATTGTAATGTAAGCTTTTGTACCAGCCAGATTTCAGTTGAGTTTACAAATGTATGCAAGAAAGAGCCCTGTTTAGAAACTACTCTCTGGCATGTGTAACAAATGACCCAAAATAAAGAGAGTCCACACTTATGAACCAAGACAGTCTCACCTCCCATCAGAATCTACATTAATAACATAAAGATTCAAAAGACAGATTGAAAACTTTGAATTACTGTAAATTGCTTTACCTTCTAAATGCAATAAATTGTGATGTTTTTTGATTTTTTAGGTCCTCTTCATTGAGTAAAGCTTCCACCACAGAATATAAATCTGATAATTTAAGAGGAAAAAAGTTGACAGAAAATCATCAAATTATAGTATTGTTTCTGTGGAAAACCTGTTTAAGAATTCTTGCCCAAAAACACAGAAAATTATCTTACAAAATGGAATCAAAATTTGTCATGGGAAGAATATCAAATTCAGTCCCTACATCAGTCAAAGCAATAGGTAAGAAAATAAACAAAAGAAATCTAGACACCCCACCCACAATAGAGAGGTTAGTCCTTGGCCAAGTCAGCTTCTAATTTGTTCTTACTCCCTTGACATTCACTAATGGTCTATGAATGCAGGGCAGAGAAATCAACAGAAGAACAAAACATATAACCTAATTACTAACACCAGAAACCTTTTTGTTTTAAATCAAAGTGATAGTGGTGGAAATTAATTATAACTTGACAATCTATCTACTTTGTATATGTGACCTCACTTAATCTTCACATTATATAAGATGGGCTGACCATTAGCTGGCATGTATCATGCACTAGTTTGACAAATGATACATATCAATGGATTATTTGTTCATACAAAGGCTATATAAAAATTAACAGGGACTAACACAGCATCACTAAAGAAAAGGAAGACACAGAGATGTACACAAGAGCTATAGACAACAGATCATAACTTATACAACCCTACATTACCAGCCATAATAAACATTAACTTGTAAGTAGATAGATACACAGGCAGACGAGCAAAATAACAGACACAGGCAAGTGAAAGGGACTATACTCAAGATCATGTGTAACTCTGGCAAAAGGTATTGAATCATGGCTATCTTTATTTGCAACAAATATATCCATGTATACAGTAAAACTAACAGGAAACAAAACTTTGTAAACTTATAACCTTACATTCTGAGGGAGTTAGTCACTGGTTCTGAAGCTTCAGGATTATGCAAAGTCTCAAGGGACATCAAGGTCAATATGCATAACACAGACCACAAAAATAATGTACTACACTTTACAAGGAATTGGGGGGGGGGAAGTAATTGATAAGACACCAACTAACACATTTCAACAGTTGCAGCCATGGATGTGCTTACCAGGCTGTGCCAGGACATCTAGAGGACTGCGACCTGGCTTACTGACTGGAAGAGACTGAGATTTATTCCCGTTCCCTAAACAGCTGGTCCAAGAGAATGTGGGAATTATCAAACAATATCATTAGTATCTCATGCAAGCAAAATCTTTCTGAAAGTTTTCAAAATCAGCTAGAACAGTACTTTGACAGCAAACTGCCTGAAATACAAGCTGGGTTTAGAAGAGGCCATGGACCAAGGAGATCACTGCTGCTGACAGATGGATCTTGATTGAAAGCAGAAAACACCAGAAGGATGTTTAGTTGTGCTGACAGATGGATCTTGGTTGAAAGTAATAAACATCAGAAGGATGTCTAGTTGTCTTTTATCAACTATGCAAAGGCACTTGATGTGTGGATCATAACAAATTGTAGAGACAATTCCCAGAAGACTACAAATCTTAGAGTATTTGATTGTGCTCATGCAAAACTTAAACCTAGACTAAGATGTTGATTGTTCGAACTAAGCATATGGTTAAAAATCAAGAAAGGCATGTGTCAGTAATGTATACTTCCTTCATTCCTTTTCAATTTATACGCAGAACTTATTCAGGAGGCTGGACTAAATGAAGAAGAATGCAGCATTAGCATTGGAGGAAGACTCTTCAACAATCTGAATTATGCAGATGACACAACCTTGCTCAGCAAAAGTGAGGAGGGCATAAAGCTCTTGCTGCAGATCAAAGACTGCAGGCTTCAATATGCATTGCATCTCACCATCAAGAAAACAAAAATCTTTACAATCAGGCCAATAGAAAGCATCATGATAGATGGAGAGAAGACTGAAGTTGTTAACAATTTCATCTTGCTCCACAATCAACACCTGGGGCACTAATAGTCAGGAAATCAAAACACAAGTTGCACTGGGAAAGTCTGCTATCAAGGGCTTCTGCAGAGTGACAAAGAGCAATGATGTCAGTCTAAACACTAAGGTGTGCCTCATCCAATCCATAGTCTTTGAAATTGCTTGCTATGCATCTAAGAGCAGGTCAATGATGGAAAAGGACAGAGGAATAATCAATGTCTTTGAGTTGTAGTGCTGGAGAAGAATATTAAATATATCATGGATTGCCAAGAGGTATGTCTGACAGGGAGAGGTTGAAATCAGGTTGCTCCTCGGAGGCAAGGATTTTGAAACTCTGTCCCCCATAATTTGGGCTTTTTGGCCAGTCCTTGGAGAAGGACGTCAATCTTGGAAGGACAGAGCATCATACAAGAGAAGAAGGCCCTGTATGAGATGGACTGACACATTGATTATGGCGATATGGTCAGGTGTGGTGGAAATGATGAGGTTGGTTCAGGATAGAGCAAGACTCAGAGCTGTTCTTTATAGGGTCCCTAGGTGTTATAGGAGATTTGACGGTACATAACAATGCACCACTCTACATTGGTAAAGAGTAGCTGGAGACTCAAAAGCTTGAGAGTGATCATTTAAGGTACAATCACTGATCTCCCCTTATCTGGAATAAAGAAGAGTGAAGAAAACCAAAGACACATGGAAGCAATTAAGACTAAAGCACCACGAGATCTCTTGAACCTCAACTTCCACTATCCTGAAACCAGAAAAACTAGATTGTGCCCAACTACCATTGCTAACCATGCTGAAAGGGATTACAACAGAGGTTCCAGGATAGAATGAGACATACATGTAGAATAAAATTAAAAATCAGAATGCTAGACTTATTAATCTGATAGATACTGGTGGAACTCTGGAGCCTATGGCTTTTAACCACCTTTTGGGTTTGGAATTGAATTCACCCCAATGGTACAACCTTCTGCCAATGATAAATCTGTAAGATGAAAAATAACACCAAGGAGGTACTCCTTATAGCAACCAGGCATATAAGATCACAAACAATATCATTTGTTCAGGGATAAGGCTTAGAAGGAAGGACAGGTACAGAGGCTGTATGAATGGAAACAGGAACTGCAGAGAGACAATGAGGAGAGTAATGATACAATGTCACAGAGACACAATGGGGAGAGTAATAATACAATGTCATGGACAGACAATGGGAAGAGTAATGATACAATGTCACAGACAGCTGGGAGAGTGATGATATAATGTGGAAATTGTAATCAATGTAATAAAGCAAAATATGTTTGAGTAGTTGAATTAAGATGAATCTGCTCTGTCAGTTTTCATTCAAATCATGATAAAAAGTTTAAACAAATTTTTGAGATACTTCTGTTTGAATTGAGAAACAGCTATTTCCCAAAAGCCACAATGCTCATGTACGACCAAACAGTCTCCTTCCTTCTCTGGGATTCCCAGATCTCCCACGCATGATTAAGTAAATATAAGATTAATTCTAGCACAGCAGAGGCATCTTTTACAAGAGTTAAAGATAAATACTTCAACCACCTCTTGTTGCCATCAAGTTGCCTCAAGTTGCCTCGGACTCATGGTAATGCCACAAGTATCAGATGTTCCACAAGGTTTCCAATGGCTGATCTTACAGAGGCAGATCACCAGATTTTTCTTCCAAAATGCCTAATTGGATTTAAACCTACAACTTTTGGATTAGCAACACAGGATACTAGCGTTTTCATCCTCCAGAGATTACCTCTTATCATATTATGAATGTGAAAAGTAAGACTCATGGAAGCAAAAGTCATTGTCCAGGTGGAACAAAGTATCCTGCCTCCCTCTTCTACAGTGCAAATGGCCCACAATGATGGCATTCTTATAGTTTTCCTACCTGGTTGGGGTACTGAGAAATAGACTTCTACACAGTCTCTCTTAGCAATATTATAAAACAGCAAATACTTGTCATGAGAGAGAGTACTAAAAATTAGGAATGTTCTAGGCTTTTGTGTCATTCCTTAGCAGCAGATGAATTATGAGGAATGAAAAGCTGCAGCAGTGTGACTCCTGACACTGTTGTTGTCATGTGCCATCGAGCTGCCTGTGACTCACAATGACCCAATGTACAGCAGCTCTGAGCCCTGCCCTATCCTGAGCCATTCTGACTGCTTCCAACAAACCTTCCCCCATTATCCCAGTTAATGCATCGATTCATCTATCTGGAGTCTTCCTCTCCTACACTGTCCCTCTAAGCATGATGTCCTTCTACAGCTACTAGTCCCTCCTAGCCACGTGCCCAAAGTCTGTTGGACGGAGCTTCAAAATTTTTGCCTTCAAGGAGAAACTTGGATTCACTCTAAGACAGACATGTTTGTTCTCTTGGCTGTCAATGGTATGTTCAGTACTCTTCTCCAGCACCACAACTCAAAGGAATCGATTCTTCTGTCATCTTTAGTCATTGTCCAGCTCTCTGATGCATATCAAGTAACTGCAAAGACCATGGCCTGAATTAGGCACACCTTAGTGTCTAGATACTCTGGAGAGGTTCCAGACAGCAGATTTTCCCAGTGCAACTTGTCTTTTTATTTCCTGACTGCTGGTGCCAAGAGTACTGATTGTGGAGCTGAGCAAGTTGAAATTGTTAACAACCTCAATCTCTTCTCCATCTACCATGGTAGTACCAATTGGCTCAATGGTGAGAATCTTTATTTTCTTGATGATGATCTTCAATCCATATTGAAGACTTAACTTTCTGCAGCAAACGTTCAGCTGCTCCTCAGTTTCATCAACTACGGTTGTGTCATCTGCATATCACAGGGTGTTGATGAGTATTCCTCCAATCCTGATGTCACAGTCCTCTTCTTCAGAAAGTCTAATCTCTCAAATGATATGTTTTGCATGCAGATTGAAAAGATGGAGGATACACCCCTGATGCACTCCTTTCCTGATTTTGAACCATGCAGTATTTACTAAATTAGTTATTTTCTAGGCCCTTCACTTTCCAAATGAAAGAATGACTATTAAAAGGGAGGGAACCCTAAGACACCATTCATTCGCAGACAGGCATTTTCCAAAGGTCTCCAAGATATTATTTTTCTTCTGCACA